ACATACATACACATACACACAGACACAGCACATCCTGTCCAAGACTGTTGCTGAGCCAGAAAATACCGTCCCACACTCTCTTACCCTCTCAGTCCAACACACACACACACAATTCCCTAAACACACACTTGCTGTTGCTTTTTCACACACATTGCAAAGGTTTCAGTCATTTTCTCACACACTGAGCACTCCTCACAGCCACTGGCTGCCCCCCAGCCTCAAACGCCTGCTTCCCCAGTACCCAAAGCGAACCCTGGCTTGTGGACAGTCCCAGAAGCCATTAAAGTCAACACAGAACAAGCTCAAAGCCTCTGCCTTCTGCTCTCCCTCTCTCCCTCTGTCACTCCCCTCCAGGGACTCTCAGTAGCAATGGAAACATTCTCCGTTTGTTCTTCCTGCGGCGTTTGGCCGGACAGGCAAGGGGGTGAACAAATGGTCATTGGGATTGAGGGAGAGGGAGGGTGTCTGCTCAGGGTCCCAGCCGCTGATCTCCTGGACGCTTGGAGCTCCTCTGGGTGCCTTGTGGTCCCATAACCGCCACATGGGCCTCCTCAAAAGCTCAAGAACTCGATATCGCCGCACCCAAAACTCCTTCCAAACAGCGAACCCAACCCTAAACCCTCCACCGAAACGCATAACGCAACCCCAGCATATCCCGATAGACAGAGGCTACAATCCATGATTACTTTAGCTATGCATTCCAGTCTGCTTCTCAAACTCAAGGAAACATGATGGTAAAACCATAATACGGAACAGACATGATAACGATTGTCTTCTTTCAAAAATTTGCAGCAACTAGAGTTTTTGTGTAAATGATGTGCAAACCTGTTTTTTTGCAGCAAATGCTCCTTGTCTACAATTCAGAGGCCGTAATGTAACAGCGCTCCGCCGCATTGGTTGTAGTATCAGAAAAACCGACTAAATGTTTTAATGCATAGATGGGTTCAGGAACCTGTCTACAGGAGGCGCTGAAGAGGCTCTTGGGGCCGTCTCACATGTTATTGGGTGGTCTGGAACAGAGACCTAATGAGACATTCACAGGTTCTGAGGAGAAGCAGTTAGTCACCTTATAGTCACACATTTATGTCCTCCTATGTCACATGATAACAGTCATGTGACCCACAAATTCTCATTGTCACAACCAAAAACAGCGTTAACAAAATGTTTTCCATATAACATTTTAGAAAATATATTTAAAACACCATAATAAAAAATGCACTCACAGAATAAAAGGCATTATTTTAAATGTTATACAGTATACGTAAAGAAAAAACATATAATGCACATATCACAATGCATCTATAATGTTATATTGTAACAAACTTTTAAGAAGCTTTAGCCTCCTTCAAATGATTGACAACAAGGGGTATAAAAAGTTTAAATATAAATGTAACAAATGAATATAACAAGATAATTAAACTCATCATCTTGTAGGAAAAGTTGTTTTAAAAATTATTATTAAAGATTATAATTTCGACAATACCACACTTAATAGAAATAACAGACGGATGCCCAGGGGCCTCTAATGAACGTCACCTGCAGGGAGGGTGAACCCAAAACCTCGGGGACCAACCCTCGGCGCAGGACGTCGAGCCGAAGCCACCGCGGTGAGAAGGCACACTGGAATGCTGCGGAAAGCGGATGAGAGGGTCTCGACTGGGCCCCCAAGCAAGCACACAGTGTCTGTTTTTCTTCTTGGATGCGCGGTTTCTCCTTTGGCTTCGGGCTCCTGCCTTTCCTTCTGTTTTTTATTCCCGCATTTAATCCTGTTTCTTGTTTCTCCTGTTACTTTTTGGATTTTGATTCCTGTTCCTTCGCGCCTGTTTCATGTCCAGATCCACAGCTGTTAGGGCCGGAGGCAGGCTTATCACAGTACATTACTGGTTATACTGGTTACAGTTCTAGTGCAGGAGACTGGCCTGGCTGGGGAACTGAAAGTGACCAGGGGGGTGTAAACTGTAGTGGGATCTCATTTTTTTAATGAATTACGCACCAGTTGGAGATGGGGGTGGGGNTTGGTCTGTTACATAATTCAGCAAGGGCCCATGTGTGGCTCAGGGGGTTAGGCCTCTGTCTCTGGGATCAGAAGGTCATTGGTTTAAGTCTCATTCTCAGCAGAATATTCCCATCTCAGTTGGGTCCTTAATCACAACCACCCTGATTTTAGACCTCAAGCTTTGTTCTCAGCTGCATATGTGTATGTGTGTATATATCTCAAATGAGGGACGATTATATGTATATGAGAAGCATTCCAGTGTACTTATGCAAAGAAAGCATATTTAATTACCAAACCTTTTTGATGAGACAATAGCACAGAGGTTAATTTGCTGTCATTTTTATTGCCAATTTCATCCTGAATACATGCGACCAAAATATATATATATATTTACAATTTCACTGTGGCATTTGCACCCAATAAAAATATATTTGTATTTCATATTGCAAAGTGATAAAAAGTTAATTCACAACTAAAAGCGATACAAAGGCGACTGTTATGCAGTAAATCCCATTACATTCATGGTTTTAAATGAAAATAATTGGAGCGAGTTACAGGAGAAAAACACTTTCTCTTTGGTCCTTTGACACTGTGTTCCATCAAACAAGTGCATGGAGGTGTCGTCGTTTAAAAGTCAAAATCACTCATTTTAACATTAATAATGTCAGAGATTAATAAACACTCATTGCTTTCACATCTTTACATCTAGTTGGCCTCCCTGTTTCTTTCCTCTTTTCAATTCCCTCTGTTTCATTCATCTCTTTCTGTGAAATTATATTATACATTTTGGATGCTTTTATCCATTTCTGATCACATTACTTGCTATGAAAATCATGTATAATTGACAAAAGAACAAGTCATGTGACAGGAGTATTTGAAAAAAGAAGTCACGTGACAGGAGTATTTGAAGAAAGAAGTCATATGACAGGAGGTCTCTGAAGAAAGAAGTCATGTGACAGGGGTCCATTCTTTAATTACCAGTGAGATGCTAGAGCCAGCAACCTGAAGGTCTGGCAAGCTCACTGGTGAGACACCAACTGCTTTCATGCCCATTGATAAGCAGTTATAGCAATCTGAACAGCCCCAAGTGCATAGTGGGATGCATAACAGTGGGGCAGGCCGAACTGAGAGCAAATCAGCTTTATTTCTGCAGCGATTCTGGCATGCTTGCTGTTGCCCACATGTGGGCTCCCTGGCACGTCGAGTCGAGTGCCACCCGGTAAAAGGAGGACACAGCTGACGCATACATTTTGGGGAGACGCGTCTACCATCGACACAGGGCTGAAAACAGAATCATAGGTTCTTTGAGGACACACACTCACAGCTGGGCCCTCTTCCCATGGGGGCTGCAATCCGCAGATCTGCTAGCTTTTTTTGGCAGATAGGAAGTGTCACCCGTGACCTGACGATGGCTGGCGTTTCCCCGGGGGGGGGGGTTCTCTACCATCCAGCCGTCAGGACGAAGTGAAAAGCTTTAAAAAACGGCAGGTCAGACCGAAAAAAAGAGTGAGCCAGGTTTAGAACCCAAGATCCCCAGCACGCAGCCATGCTACATCAGCCTCAGTTCCCCAAGACTGTTGGGGGGGGGGGGGGGGGGGGGGGTACTGATTGTGCTGCAGAACCCATCCGGCCGACTGGTTCCTGTAAACAAAGTGCTTTATAAGAAGGGCCAGACGGGACAATGCAGAAGGGAACCGAGGTGAGAGGGGCTGGGTGCCGCCACCAATTCACGAGCGACACTACACGTACACCCTGCTAGGAAATGCCTCCAATCCTACCCCATCCACCCTAACCAGAGTACCACAGACATAATTCCTGGGTATTAAAGCGAGGGCCACCTGAAAGCTCAGGATTACCGCTACCTTAAACAAGTCAACATAACATCACAAAGTGCCCCGCCACATTTCGTCCAAAAAAGCCGTACAGCTCCTCGTCTCCGACTTCACTGTGACATCACCACAACATAATTATGATGTCACTATTATGTCACATGTTAAACAGCTTCAGGTCACAGCCATTACATTTGGAGCTTGGACCTCCAATGTTTGGTCCCTCTTCTGTTCCTGTATTTGGCTCGTTTATTTTTGGCTCAATAGCTGGGTATGCATTGATTGTCACCGTCCCTGGAAAGCGCATTGTTCAAACGTTCAAGGAACGACTGATGTTTAATGCTAAGGCACTCAGGTTGTTTTTTTCTCATCTTTCATTTGTCTGGTCTTTAAGTAAATGGAAACAATGCAGGGAGGCTCCCTGTCCTGCCCCCCACAGAGGTGGGTCCTACACTCAAGAGTCATGGGACCCCACCACTTAGCTGGGGGAGTACCGGCCAATGGCGCGTGGCTCAGGGGCAGGCGTTGGAGCTGGAGGCCCCAGTGTCGGCAGCCTGAGGGCCTCCATCTTGTCATGGAGGAGCCCCAGGTGTTGGGCAGCCAGCTTGGAGAGCGGGTAAAGGCCCTCAGAGGCCTTGGTGTCGGCCAGTAGGCGCTGGGAGGCCTGGGACAGCAGCTCAGCAGCGCGGTCAGAGGTGAGGCCCAGGCGCTCTGCAGCGTAGCGGCTCAGTGGGTGCACCGCCTCCGACAGGTCGGCACGGGGGGGCGCGGCCGCCACGCCGTGCATCTTCATATGGCTGATGAGGTTGCGCTGCTGGGCGAATCGGCCACCGCACACCTGGCACTCGTAGGGCTTCTCGCCCGAGTGGATGCGCATGTGCTCCGTCAGGCGGTACTGCCGCGTGAAGCGCATGCCGCAGGCGTCGCAGGCAAACGGCTTGAGGCCCAGGTGGCTGCGCATGTGGCGCGTCATGGTGCCGCGCTGCGTGAACTTCTTGCCACAGATGCTGCAGGGGTACGGCCGCGTCAGCCAGTGCGTCTTCTCATGTTGCCGCAGTGTCGCCGGGTCCTTGTATGACTTGCTGCAGGAAGTGCAGCGGTACGGCCGCACTGTCTCCCCCGGCCCGGCCGGGACTCGCTTGCCGCCTGGGTACACCGGGCTGACCTCCCCGGGCCCATTCACCTCGCCTTCATCATGGCCTGGCTCTGCCAGCGGCTGCCCAAATGGCGGCTCGGCGCCGTTGACGTCCTCGGCATGCGCCTCCACATGGGCATTGAGCTGCTCAGAGCTGGGGAAGCCCTTGTCACAGGGGATGCACACGTAGAGGTTATCGCCAAAGCTCTGAGGCTCACAGGCCAGCCGGAAGCGCTCCAGCGTCTCTGGGGGCGACGGCCGGCCCTCGCTGCTGCCCGTCTCCTCACTGGCCGAGCCACTCCTCTCATCCTCCCCGCTGACGCCCAGCTTCTCCCCGCCCCGTTTCCGCCGCCGGCGCCGGCGTGCCCCTTCCTGACCTCGCTCTTCCTCATCCTCGTCCTCATCATCCTCTTCCTCCTCCTCGTCCTCTTCCTCATCCTCCTCATCCTCCATGGAATACGAGGCGGGTTCACGCTTCACCCAGCGGTACAGGCCCCTCAGGCCCTCCCCGTCCTCAGGTGCATCAGGTCCAGTGCCGGGCAGGATGGAGTACACTTCCTGTCCGAGGGCATGTGGCCGGTAAAGGTGAGGCAGGTGGGCCAGCAACTCCTGGCCCAGGAGAGGGTGGGAGGATTTGGGGGAGAAGGACCCCACCCTTTCCTCAGTCTCCATGTCAGCAGAGTCTCTGCCTGCGTGACCGAGGCCCCCGTTAGCCTCGGCCCCCAGGTGGGTGAGGGACAGGACAGGATGGGAGGGCGTCTGCTGGGACTGCGATTCGGGGCTCTTCTTGGATAAGTCCAGTCCAAAATAGGGTGACGGGACCCTCTCGGGCCTGGGGGTGTGCATACTAGCCTGGGGTTGAAGGCCTGGAGGAGTGCCAGGGTAGACCTGCTGGCTTGGGGAGGAGGGGGCTGGTGCATAAAGCTCCCCCTGCTGCGGGACCAGAGGATGGCCAGCCAACTCCTCTGGTGGGTGCCCACGGGAGACCCGGCTGTTAGTCACACCACCGGGGAAGCAGGACTGGATGACAGGGGTGGACTCCCTGCATCGGCCTGTTCCGCTAAGCCTCCCATAGGGCGCAGCATCACTTGTGGGAAGCAGGTGGCACTTCCCATTGTGCTTCAGCTTCTTCCTGCACAGTGCCACCAGGTCCAGGAGCTGCAGGTAGCTTGCAGCAGCCAGCACCGCCGTCAGGCTGGGCTCGGTGCCGGACCCGGACCTGGCCTCATCTTCGCCCAGGTGGCCGGTGTAGATGTAGTCCAGGATGACCCGGAAGACCCCCGGGCTCACCATTTCGTGGTCCAAGTTGATGAGGTTGTCATGGACAACCAGGGACTTCAGGTAGAGGCTGCTAGCGGCCAGGATGTTCTTGTGGGCACGGAAGAGGGCATTCTGCACCACGATGATGACGTCACACAGGAAGCCCTTGGTGCGCTGCGTGTTGAGCTGCAGGAGGAGGTGACGGGCATGACTGGGGGCTTCCATGGCATCCAGCATCGTCTTCAGACCTCCACCTGTAGCGGGTGAGCAACCGTCAGCATCTAAATCTAAGCTGCCGCTGCCTTGAGGGATTAATCTCAGACCGCGAAGCTCTACCTCAAAGTAGGCAGAAACATTCAAAGCACAAATATTCATGAGAGACATGGAGAATGTGACATGCCAGCAGTGCAAAGGAGGTGACAGCGTGGTCAAAGTGTGATAAGCCACAGACAGTCATGTAAAGAGTCACCACTCAAAAATTTCCCTTCTTTTTCTGGAATGTGAAGGCAGGTTGGACCACATCACATATGGGTGTTATGGGGAATTTTGACTATTTCATATATTTTAAATTAAAATCAATATGAAAGGAATTAAATCCGCAATGCAAACTAATATAATGTAAGATGTTTTTTTTTTTTTTTTTTTAAATGTGATTTACAGAGATCAAACCATATAAATTCAATCAGCACCAATGAGACCAGTAACACACCAGTCCCACGATAATTGGTGCCTATTTTAGATGAGATACAGGTGTCTATAACTTTCTTATAATATTTATTCAACTAATAATCATGTTGATTTATATTAAGAATATACGTGCACTTGTATACAAAAAACACAGCTTATTGTTACTTTTTAAATACAGGTAGCTATGTGTCTTCCCTTGGCCTGCGTCTAGGGTTATGGATCTATGCGGCCACCGCGGGGTAACCAGCACCGTGTAGACCGCCCATAGCACAACCCCGAGACACTTGAGAAATAATTCGGCGATGCGGTGCCCGTATTAAATCCATGCCCCCGGAGGGCGTGGAAACATGTTTGCCATGTGCGGGGAAACCACACCAAGCGTCTTCTTTCGTAACCTACAAAAAATATCTCACATTGCTGCAGAGGGTCATAAAAGAGTCCAGGATTAATCTGCTGCTGGAAAAGAAGCCATGCGGACCCCTGTAATTACTGTGGAGGTTTCTTGAAAAAGGGCCGTCCCGCCCCGTACCCGTCAGAAGACGCATATTCACTTATTCGCACAGAAGCGCTCATCGGCAGCATCTGCACCGTACAGCCTTTGTCACTTTGTCAGCCTTATCCCAAAAAAAATGCATTCGCTACCGTAATCTTAGCTACTTCATATTTACCATCACTTTTGAATTTCATCACCTTCTGCATAAATTAATTTTTGCAGCTGTTTGCGGTTTTTTAACAGGAAATACACAGTTAATACGGCAGTTCAGATTTTTGCCGAGTAAATGTGTACTTTAGGCTGACAGGCGTTTAAATATAGGCTCCACAAGACGGTTATGGGTGCATGTGGCTATAGCCATATGGCTGCGTGTTTTTACATTTCACACAACAAACACGGCGCAGATTGCGATCATCCTCGACCCTGCGAGCCTTTAGACCGGAATCGCTGCGCCCAGCAGACGAGACCCCCCGTAACCCCGATCTATTTTAATGCCCCGTCCCGTCCTTTTCCTCCTCTCCCACTTTCCCTGAGACTGTAACAGGGGCGGTGCTGCACGAATCCCCGCTATTCTGTCTCACTACCTGGGTCTGCATAATGCCACAAAGGTTTTATCCGAGATCAGCGGGCCCCCCTTTCCGTGGTACTATCAGCACAACCAAAAACCGCCGTAACAGCCTTGTTTCAACGTTTTCATCAGTGAACATAAAACGCCAGACCATATTTTAAGGCATGCATTAAACGATTTTCAAATACATGTTTAAAAATACTTCATTTAGCCTACGTATTTCAAACCGTAAAATTAAGACAAGATTATTTATAGCTGTCATATATAATTATAGTTATCAGTTTAACTAGGATATAGCAATTATAGAAATGTCCATATAAACAAATTTCAAATGTTTTAAAACTTTTAAATATTGTCGGATTTTACTATTTACTTCGTTTGTTTTCAACCATTTGACGTCGAACTGAGGTAACAGAACGCACGTATATCTCAAAACTGGCTTCATTATTATGCAATATTTCTAAAGCTTTGCAAGAGAACACCTGAATACTTTGGCCTTGAAGTCTGGCATACTTTATTTCCTTTGTTTAATGGTAGGCCTACCTATGGCTAGGCCTATTGAACATTTAAATGATTTCTATTTTGATTTACCCGGCTCCTAGTAGCCTATATTCCAAAAAATATACATTTCCCAGCCCTATGTCAGAAACTCCCAATGTCTATGGGTAGCTCATTCTTATTTTCTTATCTTAAACGATTCAAATATCCTTATATATTTGTAGGATTATTCCCGGTTTAGGGACGCAGTGCATAAAACCTAACGGGTCTTACGAACATGCCAGCATCGGAACTGCCCACGCAGTTTGCACCTTCATTGCTTTTCTTCTACGCTTAAACTCAGGAGTTATATTGCGGTATAAATTAGTACTACGCCCACTTTTGATTGGGCCTAACTTGTATGTCTAAGGGTTGGTATTACAGAACGAAACAATATTTGTAAAATGGTACGTTTGGCTGTACGTAGCTCTCTGGTTTTCCGGGAAAGTGATCCTTCCTGTTTACTGCCAGTCATACTCTCACACAGAGTTCTGTAAACGAAACATCTATTTTGGACATTGTCCGATTTACAAATATTGTCATTTGTGAAATAACATTTGCTTAATCATTTACTGGCTATTACACCTGCTAAATAAGGCGATAAAAACAAAATCGGTATAAATTCACCGAGTTAAATGATTAAGTTGAAGGATTGGGCGTTTTATTCACGCCAATCCTTCACGTCAGTTGTTTCTGATATTTTATGCCTGTTGTTGGCGTATTTAAAATAACTTAAGGCCCGGCTATCGCTTCCCACATTACAGTCTGTTTTTGTGAATTGAATATAAAAACATACCGGACATTTTGTACAATAAATATGCACTGGGACCTGAGGGCCTATTCTCTGTGTGCGAAGCTGAAATTATAGCCAATATCTTTATGAGGAAAAATTATTTTATAACATTTTAAAAACACCGTTCATGTACATTTACGATACAACTGAACCTTTCTTCGTTCTCAAACAGGCCTAAAAATATATTTTGGGATTAGTATTTCTCGACTTATTTCGAATGAGGCTGTTCTCAAAGGGAATTCCTCTTGTTCACCGTAAAGCTGGTCCTACGGCGAACCGAACCAAGCCTAGCAGTTCGCTGCCAGTCGGTATAGCAGACAGCCTTCACGCCGAGCAGTTACCCCGCCCGCCATCGTACCGCAAACTTTAGACCCAGACCTATCTGTGGACGTTATCCTTCTTGCAGGTTACACGTCGGTCGTTATATGTATCATGTATCTACTGTTGGTTTAATTCGCTTTACTGCTAGTATTAATATACATGAAGATGCATCTGTTGGTGAGCTTGTCATTATTAATATCGTTATGTATAATCAATATATTAATAAAAAATAAAATGTGAAATTTTAATTGCGTAATTTTACCACTTGCAATTACGCATTAGAGGACATTACTAGACTGCGATACTGTAACATTTTAATTCAATTTAAATATGTTATATTTTATTTTTTATTTGCAGAAAAGTAGTAAGTTGCAGTGATGGCGATTTTGCCACGTCGATTTGTTTTAAACCGAATAATTCACGATTATTAAACAGGGCGTTCCGTTTCTGCGGAAAAACAATGTAGCATAAAACCAAATGAAACAATCATAGATTAACTTAACCTGAGAACTGCAAACTTTTTCGATATGTAAAAATATCTGCTGTGTAATATGACTGAAGCAAAGACTGGCACTGTTGTTTACTTCATTGTAATTAAGATTAAGGCGTATATGCTATTTTGATTAGGCAATTATAAATTGCTCGTGAATACGTGGACCGTTACTGTCAAGCAACACTGCGCTACCACGCATCACAACCTGCAATCCAGACACGCGGAGAGCGACGCATATGACAGAATGACAAACCGCACAGATAACTAAGACCACGCCGCCTCAGTGTGACATTTGGCATACGATTTTCTGCTGAGGATTTTTGAGAATGCACAAAGCCTATATAAAACTTTACGCACTTCGTTATCACTGTGTTAAAATACTCCACAGAGATGAAAAAATAATCATAATCAGGGTTATTCAGACGTAAATGTAAACACGTCCCACTATATAAAAATCGCTTCTTATGGTGAAATATAAATAAAATTATGTCAGTCATGCGTGGCTCAGTTTGCCCTTACTGCATAAACGGTTTCCCTGAAAAAACTAGCCACACAGCGATGCTCTGCTTATCGGTATTGATACGATCATTTAACGTGCCGCCTGTCTCTGCACTCCAGTGAATACATCCGCTGAGAGGGCAACTGACTCTACCTGTCTTTCAGTGCGCTGCTTTTATGGGTTTATTTAAAATAACAGCCCGCGGAGACTTGTGGCACTCACTCCATCTGAGCCTCAACTCAATGTCCTGCTGATCTCTGACTGACGCTCATTTTGGTCACGAGCATACAACCACGTTGTGCTGAACTGAAAATAAACTAAATGTCTTCATTACAAACCGGTGGAGAAATAACCCTAGAAGATGAAATTATACGACTCGAGATAATGAACAGACGGGAAATACAAATAGACGTCTATGTAACGCCTCCCAAGCCACTTAACAGGATTACCCTCGTAGTGTGAAAGGACTGAATGAACGCAAACACTTTACCTGGACGCCCGGATTCTTCAGCCATGCGATCTATACCTCCCTTAATGATCATCTCAGCGGTCTACTGGAGTCATTTCTGAAGTTTCAACTTTGAACTGCCAGCCTCCAAAAAAAAAAAAACAGGCCAGTTTTCCAGACACCACTGCCAGCACTTTATTAATTGCGATGAGTTTCTTTTTTACTCACTCTCTCTCCCCCTGCCTCTCTCCCTCTGTGTCTCTTACTCTCTGCCGCTGCCCTTCTCACCTCCTCCTGTACAACTTCGTTCTTAGAAAAACACATATATCCTTAGACTTTTCCTCCACGAATTTCCCCGGTTATTTACGCGTCGGACCAATAACACGCTCGCAGATGATGTTAGGGTCCGTCTCTGGAACTTAAGTGTTGCAGCGCCCCGCCTGATGTCATACTATAATAAAAAGTTAAAGGTAAAACAGGGGGCAGGGACTTTGAGTGACCCCAAACTGAACTGCGCAGCACGTCGAGGCTCTCTCTTAAAGGGACAGGCGGGCTTACTGTGTGGCGCACTGTAGCCTGCCAGTATTAAACGTGTGGTTTTCATTTTAGCGACCAGGCGTTTTTTTTTTTCATAAAAATCGTTGAATTCGATGTTTAACTTAAGATTTTGCTTATAATTTCCACCATTTTCGGAGCCGACAGGGTTCACTGTGGCTATTCGATAGAGTATCTTTTACTGAAAACTAATCAAGATCGATGATGTAAAATAAACATGTAGGCTATGTTAAGTATCCACGCTAAAATACTTTTGTTTCATGTCGTCTGGAATATTTTTTCCTTTGTTCCCACTTGCGACGTCTACATGACACCTGTTATGACAGCTTCAACCTTGAGTGATTCAGCGGATTTTCGTTGCTGTATCACAGCTGTTTTCCAGTGTCATCCGCGACTCCATGAATCAATCAATCAATCGATGAATCAATCAATCAATCAATCAAACCTTGTTTACAATAGGGCGTTTTACGAGCACGCGTCTTCATAGACGTCGTCCTCAAATGTTGCTGCGATTTACTGTCTAATTTTTCAACTGATGGAGCATAACCGTGGGATCTGTTTTCTTTATAGTTCGGGCAGTGGCAATGAATCGTTTGGCGAAACATCTGGCTTTATTCAAAGGGATAAAACTGACCTATAGCAATTAACGCGGTATGCCGGGTCACACCACTGGAACAGATCTACAGCATGCACTTTGGCACTTCGTCATCCCGGCCACATTCGTATCGCAGTTTTCGAGGTCATATTTAATTAGTTTGTTTGTTTATTTATTTTTTACTAAAAGGCCCAAACACCCGCTTGGCCGTGACGGCATCGCTCGGCGGGGCCAGGGCTGCCCATGGCTCAGGTCTGGCTTCGTGCGCTCAGCTTTTCGCAAATCCACGAGAGAAATGATAGCACAGACGCGAAAAGGTTCAAACGGAAATGGTAAGGGGGGAAAAATACTTCCCAGATGTTAAATTGTGATGTATGAGAATTTGCTTCTGGCCTCAAAAAGGAGGAGGGTTATAAGAGTCGGATTCCCTCGACGTCTATACTAAATCCAGCTGTCAGGTTCGGACAGCTCTATAGCTCATACAGATCAACAGACTGATAAACAAATATATGAGCAAAACGACAGGCAATGTTCATTTAAGGCAAGAAGAAAAACATTGAAATTGCTCCTCCCCCGAAATCCCAAACCCATCCTCGATTTACGTCTGGATGCGGCGGTAGGTAGTCTACTTCCTCACATCAAGACTGCACTGTTCGTATAGGCAGGCTACAGTTCAGAGTCCCTGTTTTCTTTCCCCTTCTCGCAGCCCCCCGTTGGCTCTCCCCCTCACGATTTCATTTATCGAGCTCAGTTTCACATCAGCCCTTTAACGACTCTGCAGTGCGCTGCGTCCACGGCCTGCCCCGGTGAATATGGGCGCAGCGCCACCCAGTGGTGGACCCGGCCAGTGCGCAGCAATTCGTTATATGTACAGGTGTTCATGCCGTGCACGAATTAATGTGGGAACATTGTGGCCTTATGCTAAAGACTGAAACTGGGTTGCTGGATAAGGCACATTTACAAAAGCTGCAGCGGAAAACGGGACATGGCTATGTGAAAAGGGACACTTTCCGAACCAAAGAGGAGCAGTGCAGTAGAGTACAATAAAATCCGTAAATGACGTCTTTTTCTACATATCAGTCACCGTCATCGTTATGGTCACACCCCAGAAGGTGTTTAAACATATTTTCGAGAAAACATGTTTGAATTTCAATTCGAAGAGGTCGTTTATAGCATGCGCTTCTCTCACACACGATTCATCTCTGAATGCAAAAATACAATAGGAGGTACCGCTCCGAAACCTTACTGCTAAAGTCTGTGATTTACTCCCAGCGATGCACTTTTACAGGGTATCGAAGCGGGCAGGTTTTCCCCAGCAGGTGGGTGGAAGTGGTTCTATAGCAATGCGACTTTACTTCCCGCGGTGCTGTGATCCGAGACCGCGCTCCTCCCTGACGTTTGTACTACCTGTGCACACGTACATTGCAGACGTACAACCCACTTGTATTTTAAGTAAAAGCACACACAGGTATGCGATATCTGGATTTTGTTTTGTGTTTGTCTTTTGTATTTTGGGCCGTTTTTATATTCATGCAAAACCTTTTTCAATTTTAGCACAATATTACAGTTCTTAAGCTAGCCTATAGCCCGGGTGGCAGCAGTACGATAGAGGTGTGTAGGCTGTTCTCTCCAAGGTGATTTGATTTGTGTCTGACATGTGTTTGTTTGTTTTTTGCTTGTAGTTGTGACGCGTTTTGACTCAGGAGTCGCTGCTGCGCGATGTCCAGGTGAAACAATAACATTGCGGTCGGGAATTGTGCTCCATTATGGCCTGGCATGTTGCCCGGAAAGCCCCAGGCGGAGGTGGGACAGCCGCGGCTGTGGAATCGACCCAGCAGTTTCAGATGTGACAAGTTTGCATTTCTCCCCCCCTCACTGACACACTGCTTCAGTTTAGTTCATCAGCTGTATCACCATGGCAAATAAACATAAAACTACCACTAAGCAAAGGATAGATACATTTTTTTCCACATTATTAAGAAACATGTCGAAAGGGAATCTCTCCTGTGGGTCACAAACAAGTGTCTTTGTTGATTATTTCAGATCTTTCCAGATCCCCTTCCCCAGTATCTCAGAGTTCTGGAACTTTCTTTCTTTTTCTCTCTTTCTTTCTTTCTTTCTTGCGTCCTTTCTTTCTTTCTTTCTTTTTCATAAAAACCCCAGATTCCAGAACATCATTTGCAGGGTCCCAAGACCATCATCTTGGCAGGAGTTACCCCCCCTCCCCCTCCTTCAGTAGATGTGTCTAGAGAGGCAGG